TGAAATCGATGATGAGACGTCCGTCGGAGCAACGACCGGTAGAACGGTTAAAAAAGGTTTGTCCGTATGGTGGTCTTCCAATGTTCGGAGAGTCGACATCACCGGATATTAAAAAGTTTCCGGTATCGCTTAAAGAATCGCCGAAATTAAAGATTGAGTCGTAGTTTAGAGTTGGTTTCATCGGTAATGACCGAACGGAGACTAAAAAAGAGAATGCCACGATGAATAACATATTGATTCTCATTCTATGATTTTTTTTTTTTTTTAATTTAAAAGTTGATTTCTGTTTTCGTTGTTTCATCCATCAACATTTCGAGTAAAGATTTTATACTGAAATGTATAAGAACGGATCATTAATATATAATAACGGTGGTGAGTCTAGAGAGTAACCTTCAACACGTAAATCACATTTTTTCTGTAACGTTGTAACTGTTTCTTTCAGTAATAAATAGTAGGCTTTAATTGTAACCAGAGCATATGTTTATGATTTATTTTGTTGTTGTTGCTGTTACTATTATTGGTTGAAACTGAGACTCTCAATAAATCATGGAAGGTCGGTGACAAGTGGGTGAAAGCATTTAGTGCATCCACTTTTTTTTTTTTTGACGTCTAGATTTATTATTTATTGCAGATTATGAGAACTGATACATAGACGATTCTACAACGGACAATTCCTTCCGATCTTTATTAGATCCACGACAGACGACACTTCCTTTTTCATGCTCTTGACGGATACCTTCAATGATCCATGACCTGACGACACTTCTCTCGGCGTAGAATCCTGGCGAACGGCTATAATTGTACTTCGCTGGAGATCTTCTGCACACTTGCATCCTTTAATCTGCAAATTTATTAATAAATCGCAATATCTGGGACTCGAACCCCAGACTTCTTAGTGTAGAAGCATTAATTAACCCTTGGTCAACCAATGGGCCAAGGGGACTTCCACAGTGCATCCACTTTTATTTTATTTATTTATATTCCCCCAATAATTAATAAGCCTTTCTTTACTAAATCAAACACGATCACTTCAGCAAAACCACTACACCGTTTATTATATCTCAAATTTCTCAAGAAAACAGTGAGGAAGATGATGAGACAGAAGATTTTTCTCTTCGGTGATTCAATCACTGAAGAATCCTTTAGTGACGGTGGCTGGGGTGCTTCTCTCGCCGATCTTCTCCGCCGCAAGGTAAACATATGTATATATTAAGTAAAGATTTTACATAAGTTTTGATTAAAAACTCTTCGATGTCATAGTTATTTTGTTTGTGTGTGTGTGATTCTGTATTTAAACTATTCACGCCAGTTTAAAGACAATAATTGTTCATTTTTAAAAGTCATTATACGATTTTATTTTCTTTCAAATTAGATAAATATTGTTCGTTAATTAGTTCTTTCATCTTGCCATTTATATAATTTTATTGACTCTCTCAGATTCTTTAGTTTGTATGATTAAGGATTGTTTTAAATTTAGTTGCAATATATTCTAAATCCTAGCCTTTGTCAATTTAGATTATTAATTTAAAGATTTACATTCTGTAAATTGTACATCCATAAACCAGAAGTCCAGAAGATAAAACATAAATTTTAAATAGAAATTTGAAAACATCCATTAAAAAAAACCTAAAACATCAAAAAAAAAGCCCTAAAACATTTAACCTAGAAATGCGAAATAAGTGCTTTTACCGTTGTATCAATTGGAGCAATTGTTGACTAGTACAATATTTTGTTTTATACAGTAATTTTTCAGGAAACTAATCATATTATTATTTTCTAGTATAGTACTATAGTGTAGTTTCTTATGTTTAATAAAATAATTTTATATGATTTTTTTCTTGTAATTCACTTTTTTTTTTTTTTTTTTTTTTTTTTTTTTTTTTTTTTTTTAATAAAAATTCACAATTCTTGTAATTCACAATTACGTACGTCTTAATGAATTATTAACGATTTTGATATATAAATTGATTAGGCTGATATGGTGCTAAGAGGATACAGTGGATATAACACGAGGTGGGCGTTGAAAGTGGTGGAGAGAGTTTTTCCGGCGGCAGAAGAAGACGGCCGAGATTCTCCGGTGGCTGTGACTGTATTCTTTGGAGCGAACGACGCGTGTATGCCGGAGAGATGCTCGGGGTTTCAGCATGTGCCACTTGACGAGTACAAGCAGAATCTTCGTTCTATTATTTCGTTTCTCAAGGTGATCATTTTTTTTTAATTATCTCATTTAAATCTTGCACATGCATATTTGTCGTTTTAGAACTTAATTTTTGTTTCATAACATATGTCGTTTTTGTCCAACAAAAAAAAAAAAAAAAAAAAGATGTCGTTAAGTTTTTAATGTAGATGTTTTGTAAAATTTTCAAGTTTATTTTTACTGTTTTAAAGTCTTGACCAATGAAAAAATTTATAGAATATTTAATTAATGAAAGATAAAACAGAAAATTTATTTTAATTTGTGTGCAATAACTTAACCGATATGTAATTTAAAACAGAAAGAATATAGTACTAATATATATAATTATATAAATATGGACATTTATTGTATAATTATCAAATATGTGTGTCAGTACTCAGTATTGAGGAATGGGCAATTGCGCATTCATAATTTAAATTTTTTTTTATCGTCTTATATTGAGTACAAATCAGAGTATTCGTTCCATATCTGTTTTTCGAGGTGACCAATTTTTTTACATTATCTAATTAAAATCTTGCACATATTAACATGCATGCATATATATATATATATATATATATATATACATCTTTGACCAAAAATGATTACAATCTCTTTATTTGTTTTGAATTTGTAAAGTGGTGAATTGTGATCCTGATACATACACAGAATTTAGACCCCTCGTGGAAGTGAAAAGCAAATCAATTGTGCAAAAAAAAAAAAAAGAGAGAATAAAATAGAGGAGAAAAAACATATTGCGTGTATAAATTACTTAAGGTATCATAGTTATAGGTTATTTTCATTAATCTATAAAGTTATTTAATATGTTGTCTTTTTACTAAAAGGCCAGAGCTTTTATAGTATATCTCTTTTTGGGAAAGTAAAACTTTAGAAGCACCAAATGTATATACTTTGTCGAACCACTAAGTGAAAGTATTTTTATACATCCTTCTTTCTACATTAATAATGGATTCTTATAATTTTCTGATTTTATTAAATGAAAGATTTTTGTTATGTTTTTTAGAATCGCTGGCCAAAAACGGCCATTATTCTTATAACTCCGCCTCCAATCGACGAAGAGGCCCGCCTCAGGTACGACGTACTAGTCCTCTAATTCATCCCAAACTGTTTTATCAAAATCAACCTTGGATTTTTCAATTTCATAGACTCTCATGTTTATCATTTTGACCACCAAATTTTAGACTTTAATCTTTACATTCTTAGATATCCTTATATCGAAAACCAGTGGCGGAGTCAGGAATTTTGCTTATAGGGGTCATAAAACATTTAAAATTTAAAATAAACTAAATAAATTTTCTTTTATATATACATAACTTTTAAACCTAAAATGTTTCATATTTAATCTTTCAGATTAAAAATGTTCGTAATTTATCTTTTTCTAGTTATATCATCAAAACTTTTTTTTGCTAATATATATAATATATATTGTGGAGATTGATTAGAAAAAAATATATATTTTAAAAAGAATTTTGAAAAGAATGTAGAAATTAAAATAGTATTTGTCTAAAAAGAAGAAAAAAAATTGATATGTTAATAGATTACATGGTTTCTTAATAAGAGAAAAGATATTATAGATTTTTAACCAAACAAAATTGTAAAAAGGTATTTAAGATTAAATGAAAAAATGAATATGCATGGGGTCAAAGACAAGAATAGATCACATAACATGAGGGTCATTGTGAATATCTTAACCCAAAATATTAAATTATATTAGGAAATTACTTTATAATTAAAAAATTCTATAAATGTTATGGGGGTCAGTTGACCCCCCTCCTTGTACGTTGCCTCCGCCACTGTCGAAAACACGACGGGATTGCCAGAAAGAACGAATGAAGTAGCCGGACGATACGCAAAAGCATGTATAGCAGTAGCTGAGGAATATCAAATTTCGGTCATTGATCTTTGGTCCAAAATGCAGCAAATTCCAAATTGGCAAACAGAATGTCTATGGTCATACACTAACTCTTATATACACACCTAGTCTATGGTGCATTTTCATTTTCGAAGCCAATAAGTAAATTTTAATTAATGGTTGATCAACTATGTTTCGTGTTTTCTCGAATTTTAGGGACGGGTTACATTTGAGTCGGGTTGGTAACAAAGTAGTGTTTGAAGAAGTAGCAAAGAAGCTTAAAGAAGAAGGCATTGGAGCTGAGGACTTAGCTGTGGATCTTCCCCTTATAGAAGATGTTGACCCAAAGGATCCTCTCAACGCCTTTGATGAGTTTTGATGCTTTATATTATCATCATGTAGTTGGTTCTATCTTTGAATAATAACCGTTTAATTTAATGTATTAATTTATCCAATGGATATTATACTATATTCACATATTACTTAGTCTAGATTCTTTTTTGTATTATTCAATATATAGCAATTAGAATATGATTGGTGACCACATTTAAACAAAATTTTAGCGGTTGTAGAGAAAACGGATAAAAAAAGGGTTAAAGATAACTAGATAAAGAAACACGGTACATTAAGAGAGTGTGTAGTATAAAAGTTATAATAATTTATGAAAAATAAAAATTAATTGAATTAATGAATAAAAATATGGAAAAATAAATCATTTCTACTCATAATGTGAAATATTAATATAGTTAAATTATAATTGCTATAGTTTTAATAACTTATTCTTGTCAATACAATAATAGTTTGTATATTTATCTACGATCAACCCATAACATATCTGCAATTTGGTTATGAATAGTTTCCATATATGTTCGAATTGTCATTGCTTCACCTTTTTTTTTTATCTCATTGATATTATCTTCATCAATTTTGTGTTATCTATCTATATCTTCATTTTCACTAAAATTATGTTCAGAAAAGTAAAACATCTAATAATATGAAACTCATACAAATTTACTACAAGAAAACATAGCATAATCCAACGATAATATTAGTCAAAAATTCGTCGAAACAAGGGTTTTTTGATGAATTCGCAACAAAACCCGAGTCGCCGGGAAGCTCAACGGTCGGAAACAAATATTCTTCAGAACTTTCCGTTTCTTTGAAAATATAGTCGAAAATCCATCAAAACATTTTTGACGCCATTCCAACAAGGCTGAGGAGGAAAGTGGTCATATCTTCTACTTTCTGACAAAAGTGGGTATAGATTGTCGGACGAAGATATTAAAAACGATGTTGTCGAGAAGTGATCAGAAATTAAACACTTTGTCAAAAATTTAAACACATATTCATAAAAATAAAGTAAAAATAAAAATATTCATAAAAGGTTTTAATAAAATAGTTTACCAAAAATATTTTTAAGAAAAACAAAATAAAAATTTAAACATTAGCGGGATTGGTGGCGTCCGCTTGGTTTCTGCGAGATGGTGGAACCAAATTTGGATAAAGCTGGGACATTTTAGAATTCCAAAATGCGACATCTTTTAATATACGGTCGAAGTCTTTAATCTTTTTAGAATGATCTTTTTGGATCTGGACATGTTTCTCTTGTGTTACTCGATAATTTTCCTCGTACAATTGTGTATTTGAACTTTGGCACACCTCTTCAAAAGGGATGGATCCCACTCCAAATCTTCTTCCATTCTTGATTTCCACTACCTAAAAATATATAAAACCTATAGTAAATTAAAAACATAATAGATATGTGCGAAAATATATTTTTAACACGCTCACCGAGCAAAAGATTTTGTCTTTTTCCGCTCGTGTTAGCTTCCGCTCAAGCTGACGACTCACCTTAGTGAGCTTCTCTTGCTCCATCTGACCCTTCGAGCAATCTTATTAGTATGCTTCTTAAATCTTTATTATATATAAAAACCAAATGATATGTATTATATTTCATGACAAAGTATTCAAGTATATATATATTTTTTGATAAAGAGTATTCAAATATTATATTGGTCCTTTAATTAACAAGCATGCATGTTATTATCAAAATCTTTTTACTTAAAAAATTACATACATAAACTTCAAATTTTCACATATACTAAAAGAATGAGGAGAACTTCTACTTTAAACAATACATGCCTTTCAATGGATGAACTTAAAATATTTATCAAATAATTACATAAATTATTTTTTTTTGTTGCAAGAAAACTTGGTTTTAAGATAATTTTTTTTTAAAAAAACAACATAGACAAAAAAACATACTACTTGAGGTTTAAAATTAGAAATCAGATTACGAGAAAGAAATATAGCAGACAATTCGAATTTAGATTTAAGACTTACTTGATGTTATAAAGTTTGTGCCTTTACGGTTTAGTACTTGATCATGAACTTTTCCAAAGTCTCCAACTTTTTTCAAACAAGCTTCCACAATTTTCCGGCGATTGAAAAAAATCAAAGAGGAACCCAAAAGCTCTGTAGTTTTAGCAAAATAAATAAATTAGTTTTGACTTCTTAAGAACACATAATCTAAAATCAAATAAAAAATTCGAATTTAATGTATAAAACTTACTCGGAAAATTCTAAAGTCTCTAACTTTTTTTTTCTCCACCGTTTGTTTCTTCCTCTGTTAGAAAAGCTTCCACATTTTTCCAGAATTTGGCTACCCAATATCTGTAACCGTAACAGAACAATGAATCAGATCAGTATAATAAAATCATATAGAAATCCAGAAAAACATAACGTAGAGAAAGAGAATCAAAACAACAAAAACAAAAAAAAAAATTAACAAAAACAGTTGTCTTGAAATCAAAACAGAGTATGAGAGAGGAGGTTTTAGATTTCTAACTTACTTTGAGTTTTTCTTCTTTGAATGAGGATTTGATTTGTAATGGTGAAGATTAAAAAAGGAAAAAAAAAACAGAAACTTTGGAATTGGAATGATTTATCTAGTCGTTGTTTGGGTTTTAACACCGATGATGTATGTATTATATATAGAGAAAACTCAGAAATTTAATTAACAAAAAAAAAAAGAAACTCAGAAATTTAGCCGTTTAAAAGTTACCGTTAAACACAACGGCTAATTCCTTCGAACAAAAGTTACCGTTAAAGAAGGATTACACTAATTATTTCTTAATTTAATAAATATATACGGCGTCGTTTAGTTGTAATTTGGTAAAACCAAACGACAAAGTCTCTCTGATTTTATCTAAATCAATTTTCAAACCAACCAAACCAAACTCGAACCATTTTTAACCAAACTATATCTTCCACACCTAAATTGGGCCTATATAATAAGTACGAGTCCATTATTTTTTTTTTTCGTGAATGATTATATAACAAGGGTGAATTACATTGTCGGAATACAAAGGCCGGCGAAACTTTAATCCTCAGAAACTAAACCGGCGGAACTTTAACCCCCAGAAACTAAACCCAAACGAGAGAAACGAGGCCCTAAATTACAGGGAAAGAAACAAAGAATAAATAAAAACTAAAACAAGAGACTCAACAAATTAAATTTGGAATCTAGCACAAACTCCATACCTACCAAATCAAAACCATGACTGGAATGCCTTACACAAAGCAAACCGAAGCAGCAAAGCGAGACAACGATAAGCGGTTCCTCCTATAGTGGATTGAGACTACCTCACAATGAAAGAGTTCCTAGGCGATCACACCAGCAAGACAAGATCCAAGCCAAAAGCAACAGGATCAAAATATTTCTCCCGGTAGCGGCGAAGTCGAAAGAATATACCCTGACAAGTTAACGCCTCGAAAGAAGCCTTTGAACAGACCAGATCTCGATCTGACCTATAGAGACCTATAGAGTACGAGCCCATTATATATTCAAAATTAGATTTATCAAATTTTTACAAAATTCGCATTGATATAAATCATATAATACAATGTTTAATCAACAATTAAACTAAATTAAGTAAAAGAGGGAAAATCTAAAAGATCCTCTCTATCTCCTTATCCAACACAAAACGAATTCTCAAAGAGAAAGAGACGAAATCAGAAATCTATAGAGAGAGCTCCCACTCACTAACAATGGCGTCTCTTCTCGGAGCATCTCCTTCTTCAATCTTCACTTGCCCTCGTCTTTCTTCTCCTTCCTCAACATCTTCTATCTCCCTTGTCTGCTTCGGACCAGGTTCGAAACTCTTTTACCCTAAAAATCCTCTCTTTATAAAACCTCAAAAGTACCCATTTTTATCTGCTCATACACAGTTTTCAAAGCTCAACAATTTCAGGTTTTTTAGATGACATTTTATAGAAAATGTGTACTTTGTTTTTGCAGGGAAAATTTGTGGAAGAATCCAATTCAATCCAAAGAAGAACAAATCTCGTTACCATGTTTCGGTTATGAATGTCGCTACAGAGATCAACTATGTTGAACAAGTATGAGTCTTTTAACAATATGTTCATGGAATTGATAAAAAAGATTGAATCTTGGAATGATTTATGACCTAAAGAATTACAATGTAGGTTTATTTTGTTGCGAAATGTTTGTTGGCTAAGAATTTGGTTTTATGGTATTAGGGAAAGAAGTTTGATTCAAAGGAAAGTGCGAGGCCGGTTTATCCGTTTGCTGCTATTGTTGGACAAGATGAGATGAAGCTATGCCTTTTGTTAAATGTGATTGACCCGAAGATTGGCGGTGTGATGATAATGGGAGATAGAGGAACTGGTAAATCAACAACTGTTAGATCTTTAGTTGATTTGCTTCCTGAGATCATGGTTGTTGCTGGTGATCCGTATAACTCAGACCCGAGAGATCCTGAGTGTATGGGAAAGGAAGTAAGAGAGAAAGTTCAAAAGGGAGAACAATTGCCGGTTATTGAAACCAAAATCAATATGGTTGATCTTCCTTTAGGTGCTACGGAAGATAGAGTTTGCGGAACTATTGATATAGAAAAAGCGTTAACGGAAGGTGTTAAGGCGTTTGAGCCTGGACTACTAGCTAAAGCCAATAGAGGGATTCTTTATGTTGATGAAGTTAATCTCTTGGATGATCATTTAGTTGATGTTCTTCTTGATTCAGCTGCATCGGGTTGGAACACTGTTGAAAGAGAAGGGATATCGATTTCTCACCCTGCTCGGTTTATCCTAATTGGTTCAGGAAATCCTGAAGAGGGAGAGCTTAGACCACAGCTTCTTGACAGGTTTGGTATGCACGCGCAAGTAGGGACAGTTAGAGACGCTGAGCTAAGAGTCAAGATTGTTGAAGAGCGAGCTCGTTTCGATAGTAACCCAAAGGAGTTTCGAGAATCTTATCAAGCAGAACAACTGAAGCTTCAAGAGCAGATTACAACTGCAAGAAGCAATCTTTCTGCAGTTCAGATTGATCAAGATTTGAAAGTGAAGATCTCTAAGGTCTGTGCTGAGCTGGACGTTGACGGACTGAGAGGAGACATGGTGATAAACAGAGCGGCTAGAGCACTTGCGGCACTCCAAGGAAGAGATCAAGTTACAGCTGAAGATGTTGGTATTGTTATACCGAACTGCTTACGACACAGACTCAGAAAAGATCCATTGGAGTCTATGGATTCGGGAATTCTCGTTACCGAGAAGTTCTACAAGGTTTTCAGTTAGAGTAAAGATAGATTCTTGCAACACATTTAACATATGCTTTTAGTGATACACACACACTAAGAAGATTCGTCTTGTATCGCTTATTATACATGAAAGTTTCATTTTTTCAATCAGATCAAGTTAAGAATCAACTGGGCTGATTCCAGAATCTTGGCTTACGTTCTTGAAACTCCGGTAATCTCTGATAAACAATGGAGGCAACTCTGATCAGAATACCAGCAGTGAGTGCCCATATGATAAAGTTTCTCTCTTTATCTTCGGAATAGTAATCGAAGTATTGAAGAAGATATCTCTCTCCTTCATGCTCTCGTTCCTCAGTCCGCTTGTTCTTGTCCTGCGTAAAACCCGACAGAGGGAGCCATTAAAGATTAAGGTTTGGTGATAGATTTAAACCAAAAACAGGGGATTTTTTTGGTTCAAGAACCTTGAGGAACATCTCTAACGGAACATCAAAGATTTCTTCCACTTCAGCTGGATTTGGTAACGGTTTAAACGCTTTCTTATCGAGTAAAAAACCGATAACTGGTACAACAGACATTCCCTTCTGCAATAACCGAAAACCCGATAAAACTATAGATAACCAATTTAGCAACTTAAATTCAGATGTTTTGATGCAGTATTGATTACCTTGTTAACAAATGGTTCAAGAACAGAAATGATTGTAACAAGAGAAGGATCTAAACCGATTTCTTCACGAGCTTCTCTCAACGCGGTAGCTATATCATCTTTATCTTCCTCGTCTCTTTTTCCTCCAGGCAATGCTACTTCCCCTGTTTTTAACAATTTCCTCTGTTTCTGATCCAAAGATGAAAACTTTACTATATGAAAGAGATTTTGATTTTACCAGGATGAGAAGAGAGAGTAGAGGAGCGTTTGGTTAAGATTACACGTAGCTCGTTTTTGTCTTCTCTTTGTTCTTGGTATAGACAAACTAAGACAGCTGAAGATTTTGGAGGTAAATGTTGACGAAGATGAGTTTCGTAATTTTGAAATCGTTTGATCAGATTTTGCAATTCTGTAGAATCTGTAGTTGTTGTTGAAGACATATTAACAGAGAGACTTAAACACTTGATGACTTGAAACTATGTTTCTTCTTCTTCTTCTTTAGATCTCTGAATAAAAAGCGATTTTTGTTTTGGTAACAGATCCAGATCTTCGTTTACAAGTTACAACGAAAGAAGAAACAGATTTGTTAGAGTGGACAACAATAGCCCATTATCATTTTAAATTGGACTATTGTCATTCATTTTACTAAATTACTATAGTTAAGAATTTAAGATCATTATTCATTAAAAAAATTTCTACAAATTAATTCATCTAAAAATTAATATTCTACTATTAGGGCTGGACATAAAACCCAAAATCCGAAAAATCTGGAACCGAATCCGTACCGAATAGTCACAAAACCCGAGCAGATAATGAATTCTCCTATCCGAATTACCCGATCCGAACTGGAAAACCGAAAAGATATCCGAAAACAGGAAATAAAATTATATATCCAAAAATATTAGTTATTAGTTGTAATTTTATAGCAAATAACAAAAATATCCTAAATAACCTAGATTTCGGAAATTTTTAGTTATATTTGTTAAATTTATACATATTTTTGCAAAATTTAACCAAATTTTGTAAGATTAAGCCAATATTTATTTAAATTGAACAATTTTTTTCGTTTTTTCACCAAGAACCGACCCGAATCCGACACTATCCGAACCAAAACCGAACCGATGACTCATAAAATTCGAACGGATAATAAACTCTCCTACCCCAATTATCCGAATTTGAATATATCCGAACCGAAATTGAACCGAAATGTCATAAAATCCGAACGGATAATAAACTTTCATACCCGAATTATCCGAATATGAATATATCCGATCCGAAATTCGAATGCCCAGGCCTAATTCTACTCATGAAAGAATTTTATAGTGTTAAAAACAATTTTTTACTTGTCTTTTACTAAACATTAGTTTAAAAAAAAAAAACGAGACCGTAAAGTACTAAAATTGACGGTAAGAGTGTACATCTCGACCGATTTGAACCAATTGAACCCAAAGAGATTCAAAACGAACTAAAAAACTATGTACAAATCATTTGATTAACTTATCTCTTTCTTTTTAAAGAGGGTTAAAAAGAATATGAGTGATTAACCTATCCTATCTTCAACCCAAACGGTTAGGAAAATCTATGTTCAAATCATTTGAATAACCTCTCTTTAACCCAAACGGTTCAGATTGGTTTGAAACCAAACCAAACCAATAGCTCAATCATGAATAAGATGATTTAATAATAATGATTTATTGTGGCTTGATTTGTTTTTTTCTTGCATCTCTTTCTTTTCTTTTCTTTCCCTTCTAAGTTTGGTTTGAGTGA